ATGAAAGAGACATGATACGGAGTTGGTTGAGAATCTAGGGATCGATAAGCTATTGGATGAGTTGTTTGGGGCGATGGTATTCTCCAAAATTGACATGAAGTCGGGGTAGCATCAGATTCGGATGCTACCAAAGGATGTGCACAAAATAGCATGTCAAGACGGTGAGGGTCGCTGCGATTTTCAGATTAAATGAAAAAAATTGTTAGATGATGGCGTTACATGAGAGTCATACAACCTAATCTAACAACAGTATTTTCCACCTTGAAGACAGAGTGTCTTTTTGAGAAGAGAGTAATGTTACGACGGCGCTTGAGGGCAATTTAGTCTTTAATTAGCCTAAGTTTTTTATTTTTTTTTAGTCATTTGTTATTTATTATTGTTTAGTATAAATAAGACTAATATGTTTAGGGTTAGGGTTATGCATGAGATTGGGTCTTGTACCTTAAAGTAAGGATTTTGGAGAGATTTCCTATCTCTTGAATTGTAGGATTTGAGAGCAATCGCCTACCTCTCGAATTGTAGGTGTTTATCTTATATATGTATTGAGTTGTTTTATGTTCTTGCAATAAAATATTTTGTGCCCTAATTTTTGTGAAAAATAGTCTTAATTCCTATCAAATGGCATCAGAGTCGAATGATACAGTGCTCCGTCTGTTCCTTTCACTATTCGCAGGTGCACAACTTCATATCTTGAGATTTAGTCACAATTTGACCTAGCCAGGATTCAACAACGAGATCGACGCATACAGACGCCATCAAACCTAGCTATACATCGCACAATTGGAGCTTGTTGGGAAAATTGACTGGATTGTTTCTTACAGAGGGTGGGATCGCTACTTCCAAGGCGCTTAAGTTGCGCCTTTTCCTTCGTAAAGAATCACGCAAAACATGCATACATAAGTCTTTGGAGGAAGCAATGATCGGATAGCGGGATCAAGCGTGCTAGTTGCAAGAAGTCGTGATACCATGGCAACTGAAGCTGTAGAGTCGCGATACAGATGCCGACTTGCGATAGCTAGAAAGACAGATAGGATAGCAGCGTGAAGTGACCTAACCCCATTGGTACAGTCGTGATTCAATTTCTATGTGAAGCATCGCAATTCACACTGGGACATTTTTTATCCTCAACGAATTTTTCCTCAAAGCTCTAGAACCTACACTTGCTCCCCCCACCCGCGACAATCATCCGACACCCTCACTTTCCATTTAGACATTCCTTTGATCCTGGTCACTACTGATCGAAAGAGAAAGTTGTGTTTTAGAATCAGCTAGCCATAACAGGTCTCTTCAGCATACATACATGATTCAGATTGACAACGGGCTTACTATCTTGCGGTACATAAGTGATTCATCGATGACATTTCGGCATACAGGTGATCTAGCCTTTCGTAATCGAAAACTTTATGGAGAATAACGACGACTAAAAAATAGATGTTCTGGACGAGAAGTTAGAGAAAGAGACGAGCCACATCAGATTTAAAATAGAGGAACAATTCTCGGTAATGGAGGAGTGTTTCTCGTCCATGGAGGGAGAGTTCGAGCGGATGTTCATGGCCCTGAAAGAAATGATAAAGAAGATCATAGAGTTTCATACAAAATTGTTGTTGCATGCAATGGGATCGAGCAAAGGCGTTTTAAGCGGATGAGAGAGGCAAACTAGAAGGATCTACGAGACATCAAAGCGACGTTGTTGCTTTAGGCAAATCTAGAGATGTGAGATCAGGCAAAAGAATTGAGAGCAAACTGGAACGGCAGCCATCTGAAGGAATTGTGTGGCACTAAGAAGTGTCATTATTTTAGGTGAATCTAGAACTGCAGGATCGAGCGAAGGAACCGAGAGCGAGATCGATCGACAAAACTTAGAAGGAATCATGCAACCTCCGAACGTCTGGAATGAACTGAAGCAAGCAAGATTGAATGAAGGAATTGGAGCATATTTGAGCGACGGGATCGAGAGAGAACTGCACGTCATCTAGAGGTTTGAAATGAGCAGCAACAGGTAGAACGGGACGGCGTCCAATTTGGAGCTAGAAGATATTGCTTCAAAAAAATTTGGCCTAGAATAGAGAACAATGGTGGGTGGGACCCTAGCAAAATGTTGCATCCAATTGCATCGGTGTCCTTTGCGGTGGTAGCCCTTCATGCAAAAGGCGATTCAGGAGTAAGGATGAGAACGAGATAGGTGGAGAAGAGCAGATGTGTTTGTAAGGGACTTATTTTGACATTGCAGCATATTTATGAGAAATACAAGATGGTGGTGTTTCGCAGCGAACACAAGTTATGCAAGACTTCAGTGACGCTGAAAACTATGATGAGGGAGATTCAGGACGCAGGGCTGAGATTCTTGATTGAGTTGCATATCATAGAAAAGGCACATGATACAGAGTTGGTAGAGATTTCAGGGATTGATAAGCTATTGGATGAGTTGTTTGGGGCGGCGATATTTTCCAAAATGGACTTGAAGTCAGGATGTCATCGAATTCAAAAGCGACCGAAGGATGTACACAAGACGGCATTTCGAGAAGGTGAGGGTCACTACGAGTTTTTGATTAAATGAAAATTATTATCAGATGATGACGCGAGGGAGCCATAAAGCCTGATCCAGTAGCAGTTTTTCCCACCTTGGGGACAAGATGTCTTTTTGGGAGGGGTGTAATGTTATGATCGCACTTGGGGTAATTTAGCCCTTATTAGCCTAAGGCAATTTAGTCATTTGTCATTTATTATTGGTTAGTATAAATAATGCTAATATGTTTAGGGTTAGGAGGATAATTGCTATTGTTGTCTTTGGGTTGTAGAGTTAGGGTTTGGGAAAGACTTCCTACCTGTCGAATTGTAGAATTTGGGAAAAATATCCTACCTCTCAAACAATAAGTGTTTATTTTATATATTCATGTTGAGTTATTTGATGTTCTTGCAATAAATATTTTGTACCTTAATTTATGTGGAACATTTTGATTTTGATTCCTATCAGATTCCATTACAAGCCATAAACCCCTAATTATAGAGATATAGTCACAAAAACTCAAACAAATAATTAAATCTAAGCATATCAAAAAATAATTCTAATAATTAATAATTCAAATTTAAACTTAAGATTCTCCAAAAGAATAAATCATACTAATTTAAATTAAAATAAATCTATGAATCCTAATAAAAGTAAACCAAACCTTAAAACTTCAAATATAATTTAAATGTACTTTCATGTGTTGTAATTCGTAGACCACGCATTATTGGAATGGCGTGCACTAGGGATGTCCTTTAGTTCTATTTATCCCTAATAGATATCAATTGTTGAATTGAGAATCGCACAAAATTATAGTTCATATTGACAACTTAAACTGATTCTACTTGTGCTTGCAGGAATATATGCTTGACTTATCTTCAATAGATAATGCATTTTGGAATTAGCAAACCTGGAATAGCTTGATCGCAATAAATTTCTAAAAATATGGAATCTCTAAACATCAAGTGATTAAATAATGTTGCAAGTGCAATGTTATTTCCTGCCTTTTTTGCATTAAAAAGGCCAGGTAAGACTCCAGCCTTGGGGCAAAGTAAAACTATTGTATTCCTAATGATATACTCCATTCAATGCCCAATGAATTGGTGCTATAGATATTCTTGAATGTAGAATAAACACCCAAAAGTGTAATAAAAGGAATACTAGAGGTTGTTTCGTTGCAAGTTTTTAGAATAAATGAGTATTTTAAATACTGTGTAAGAAAAATGTAATGGAGTTGAAATACTCAAGTTATTAAATTGGATGATAAATTCTGAAAATCATTTTATGCGTTTACTTAAATGAAAAAATAAATTTGAATCTTTTTACTAATATTTTTAAATGTATATTTTGCATTAATATTATTCTTTTAATATATTTCACATTAAAAAAAAATGTATCTAAGGCACAATAAGGTTGATGGCATTGGTCATGGTCGACTGGGTTCAAGTCAAGCACTTGGATAACACGATAAAAGCCATTGGAGTTGCTAATGTTAGTGAGAAGATAAGGCTTTTGGCAGAGAGAATGTTACGAGTACAAGGACACTATAGATTGCGAGAACTATAAGAGCCAAAAATAATAAGACGAGTGTTAATAAGCGAGGACATTGCAAGCATAAGGGCAAGGTCCAAGCTATGGGCAAACATAAGCATTTGAAATTCACATGATTTGTACAATTAAAAATTTAAAAGATTAACATTTCATAAAAAAAATTTCACCTGTAATATACTCAGCCAAGTAGCCCTTAAGAAAAATAGAATATAATTATAAAGAAAAATTAGAATTTCATATAAGAAGCTTAAAATTTATTATATAGTCATTGCTAAGTAACCCGCGAAAACAATAAAGCATGGGAAAAAAATTTAAAGATGCAATTATATGAAATAAGTTATTTTAATTGAAGCCTATTCTATTTCTGCCAAACACTTGCGAGAGAAAGGACTCTTTTAGGTTAAATGAAATGAGGTAGCATGTTTCCACCATTTTGATAATACAAACCCAATCTAAATTTTCAGCTTTCATAAGTAATTACGCCTCCTGCAAAAAGTGAAGGATCATTTTCATGGGTTGTGTATCGGCTCAGCTAACCTCTCCAATGCTTTATTCAAAGATCATGAGGATTATGCACAACGCTTTACTCGAAATAATGCCTAATAAAGCCTGCAGCTAAGTTGAACCAATATTTACACAAGATACAATAGCACATGGTATGAACTTGTTGGATAGAGGCGAACATCAAAATGATTGGGCATAGAAGTAAGAATTAAAGATTCCCTTTCGCAAATATTAGAAAGGAAAAATACACATAAGATCAAGCTATTACGCACTATCACTATGGAATAAAGCATCCCGTATTCATATTCTAGAGTGAAAAAGAAGGCACCATCAATGGACTATAACAAGAGGATAATTTTTCAGTCCACAACCAATAAAATATATATTTATAGTGTTTGAACGTTCTTGAATGATCAAAATGGCTAGCATTTTTACTGACCTCACTCTCTTGAATATTCACTTCAGCTAAATGAGAATAGCTTGGATCCTTCCCCTGAAACCTTTGTATTCTGGAATGATCACTCAAAGGCATTATGCCATTATTTTTACCAGGTTCAGCTCCATTAATTTTTTCTCCTGTCCCATTCAATCTGCTGTAAAACTGCAATGGCGCACCGTTATTTGCCAAAGAAAGCTCTGATCCACCATTTATTTTTTTTTCAGAAGCTTCATATATTCCAGAGTCCTCACCAAGTGTTGATTGAATTTCAGCAGTATCAAATGGAGAATTTAAATAGCATTTCACTCCATTGCCTTTAGATAGAGTATTTTGCAAAGCTGAAGCACTAGCATATTCTGAATTTCTTGAAGTTGGATCAACAGCTTCCACTTCATGATTGTTTATTACACTAAATCTACCACCACCGATCTGGGTGTGTGTATCATTAACTTGTGTCTCATGATTGATTGCTGATACATAATTATCATCTCCCACATCCTTAACTGTAAGATTCTCAACCTCAAAGCTGGCCGTAGGTATATCTTCCACCTTTTTCTCAATTTCTCTTTCAATATGATTATCTTGACGCTGAAAAGATTGATCCAGGTGCAGCGAAAGTGAAGCCAGACCACCACCCTCTGTGTCTTGGACAAACTCATTCCAATCATTGGAGCCAAATGCCACAGAAGAACTCATAATAAGTGGATTCACATCCTCATGGTTACTTTTCTCAGCAAGCTTAAAGCTCCTTTTACAAAATCGAATTCTACCCTCATTATCAGTTCCATAATCAAGCATTGAATCATCACTTTCCGAAAGCTTAGATTGAGGAAAAGCATCTTCATTTCCTTCGATATTTATGAGACCACCAAATTTAAGATCCAAATGAGTTTCATTTTGCCTGATCAATAAAATTTCATTCAACGCACACTCTTCTTCTTTCTCATCTGAATCACCATTACCATTGGCTCCCAGAGAAGAACAAATAACTGAAGAAAAGGCAGGCAACTCCTTGCCCTTGGCTAAGCATGGTAACCGTAAATTATTATCTTCTCCCCATACGCCATGGCATGATGAGGAGCTCTCTGTGTAATCGTGAATCAAACTAGAGCCTGTACTCATTCTGGCCATGAGACTCTCGTAAGAACCATTAGCTCTTGGAGTTTCAGCACCTCCATCCGAGAAATATTCGAATTCATTCCAGCGACTTCTCTGGAATTTCTTTCTCGAGTTGTGGCCCTCCAAAGGAAACTCTTCACCGACTACATAGTAATTCCCAATCGAACTGCAGGTGCTCGCACTCCCCAACACAGAATTGGCACTACAGTACCGATCAAAATCCGATCCGTCACAGGAGGAAAATTTGGACGATGCCGGCAAAGAATCGCCACCATCATCGTCGGAGCAGCAATCCGGCCGGGGGTACCACTCATCGGAGGGATTTGGAGGGGCGGCGTCCCAGTCCATTAATCATCAACAAAAAGAGCATAATAACAAGACGATGTCTTTTTGTAGAATTTCATCAATCCACAGATCACCCGGTCTAGAAATTAAATGGCCAGTTCTTTTGTATAAATTCGTATCAGCAAGAAAATTTGAGGCTCACAGGATAGGGTTTTGCGCAATTTCTCCGTTCAAACAGAGGACGATAAAAAACAAGATCAATTTGATTTTCGGAAAGCGGTCAGAGCGACTTACACGGATCGAAGCAAATGGTATTTGAGTGATTGAAACCACTTTAGTTGATTCTGCAGAAAAATCTAATCCAGGAGTCGCACACACTGGTTGCGTTTGCCTCTTCCTCGGTCGATTGCGGCGTTGGCATGGACCAGGCCACCCTCGTGTCATATTCTTGGCAGGGGTCAAAGACTGGCCATTAAATTACATATTTTGTATTTAAATTTTGTAAGAATGAAATGCAGACCATGCAAAAAATCCATCTTTAAAATTTTGAATTTAAATGTCTATAATGTATTAATCAATGAAAATATGCATAACTAAATGTTAAATATATATAATTTTGCAGGGGTCCACATATGATTTTGGCAATAACTCATTGCATGATTAAAATTTTTAAGCATGATTATATTTACTCAAGTACTATGCACGATGATGTGTGCTAGAGAAATCGCGGTGGTAGAGTAATGAATTAGCGTTTCAACATTATGTGGCAATAGAACACATATTTGGAGAATAAAATGACAGGTAGGTAGAGATTATAAGTTTTTACGTAAAAATCCAGAAAAGAAAAAAATCACGGGACTTAGCCCAGACAAAAGTAATTCATCATAGGTTGATGAGTACAAATACATTTATGAGAATAATTCATTTATTATATCATATGTTATTGCCTTGTACCATACTCGCAACTTGTTTGAGGCATGTTTGAATCATTATATGTCATGATAGACTTTAATTGAGTACTCAACGGACAAAAAGTTGATTGTTTTAGTCTAAAATGAACATTCGTGCATTTTTGTTTCATGAAAATAAATAATGGTGATATTTCTCCAATTTTATCTTTTAACAACATATCTATTTGGTCAAATTTACCAAATTAAAGCATCATTTTAGAGAGATTTAAAAAATAGGAAGATTGAAATCATTATAGATGTCTTTTATGTGCAGCCAAAAGATTAATTTATATAAATTTCATCATACCTTTAAAATATGATCCTTAATTTCAAATAACTAAATGAGTCATATGAACAAATGATTTGGCTTTTTACCCTTATCTCCATCATTGACCATTCCAAGCACCCAAAGTTCCACTTGTTCTTATAATATTAAGGGTCCACTTAGACCAGCTATATTTTTAAGAAAGATTATTATAAAAGTGTTATAAGTAATTTTTTTGAAAATTTACCATATATATGTTTAAAATCAAACAATAATTTTCTTATAACTACCACATATCTGCAAATTTGATCTTGAAAAATTGATTTTAATAAAAAAAATTATGACAAAAAAAAACAACAGTGAAACATAATTGTGATAGCTTTATGAAAAGCAATGCACTAAGAAAACTGTCCAAACAAACCCTCAAGCTGCTTTGAGCAAATTTCTAAGAATATTGCATAGTCGTGCAAATAAATGTTTTGTTTTTATAATGAACCAAACCATGGGTGAAATCACCACTAATAAATCAATTTTGTTAAATGTTGTATCAAGTTTGATCTGAAGACATACCAAATGAAGTATATTTTATTTGGTTAGATTCATACTTTTATATTTCATTTGGTTTGTTTTGATTATATTTTCTATAAACCTTTTGTGTTAAAATCTTGAAAAGAAACTAATTTTCAATATGATGATACACTTTGTTCTATTATGTAGCATTTTCTATAAAAACAAAATGACATCAAATCAAAACTGAAATGAACGAATCAAATGAATTTTCTATTTTATGATTTTACCCACTTTTTGGCACACCTCTAGCATTTAACGAGAACAAAATTACATTAAAAACTGTCAACACAAAATTACATATAAAATTTAAGAATCTTATTCAAAACATGAAAATATTTTGTATAATTGTACGAGAAAACAAAATTTCCTAAGAAAAATAATAATTTTTGAAAGTCAATCCATGAAAAAATGATTTAATGCTCCCTTAGTAGAATAAATTGGAAAATAAATAAGTTTTTTATTTTATTTGAAAAATACACTCAAAAGTTCATTTTAGACCAAAATATCTTTGCTTTTGACTATCGAGTAAACATTTAAAGTTTTCATAATTTAAATTGATTCAAATAATGTTTGGACAAATTTGAACAAGGTTTGAATCATATTTTAGTAAGGTTAAGTCCATGTGCAAATCCTGTATGAAAGCTTTTAAGTATGGATTGAACAAGGTTTCAAACAAGATTTGAGCAAAAATAAACTAAAGCTTGAACATGATTCCAAAGAAGTTGAACAATATTTGATTAAGATTTGAGCAAGGATATAACATTGATTGGATAAGATTTGAGCAAATTTAGAACATGATTCTAATATAGTTTTAATATGATTAAAGACAATTTGAACTTGATAAATAAGCACAATACAATGTCATTCAAGAAGCATACCAAACATTGATAACACCACAAGATGCAAATGAAAAAACAACTAAACAAACAATCATAACAATAAAGTATAATTTAAGAGATATAAAACACATTCATAACATAACACAATTTAAATTTAAAGATATAAATATTCATAATATAAATAATTATAAGACAATAAAATGACATTCGAGAGAAAACAAAACATCTACTAAAAAAAGTAAATTAGAAAGTTAACTAAGATGATCTATATAAAATTCTTTGCAAAAAGGTATGCTTTTAAAAATATTATAGTTATTCTCCTTCGATATATGACATTATCTATAAATAAGTCAATTTTTGAATCACATGAAATTTTATTACAAAAAGGTTCAGCATTGTATTAATCTTCAATAATACAATTACCAAATACTAATATGCAAAAAAAATTGATAATGTCAAATGTTCTGTCTTTACCTATAATCTTGAACACAATGAGATTATTAGTCTTAAATTGTCTCACAATTTTCTTTATTTTACCTTAATATTATGTGGCACAAGTAGCATAATGCCTCTTTATACATGTGATTAGAACTTTCATCTACATACATAATTATGTGTGCTAGAAAGTTCACAGCGATAGAGTAATGGATTATCGTCTTAGCGTTGTACGAGATTTTTGCACACACTCAGATAAAATAAAACAACCAGTAGTGAAAGTATAAGTTTTTACTTAGAAAATTTGTAAAGAAAAAAACCACGAGGTCAGACTCAGTTGTAAAAGTTCACTATAATTTGATGATTACAGAGACCTCTTATTCCATTAGCGGGAAAGGGATACAAAGACTCCTGAATAACAACATCGAAGTGCGAACAAACTTGTTGTAAGAAGTGGGAGGCAGCCAATAGCGATCAGTGGAGGCCAACAGGTAGTGGTCAACGGTGGTCGGCGGTGGTCACCGGTGGTTTGTGAGGATCAATAGTAGTCAGCGGTGGTCAATGGGAGCCAGCGATCAATAGTGACAGGAGTGGAGTTGGACTTCAGCTATTTCTCAAAGCTTAAAGTTTTTTCTCAATTCTCAAGCTGTCCTCCTCTTCATAACTGGGGTGATGATCTATTTCTAGTGTTTTGGGTGCAATTAATACAGGAATATGAGCCACTTTGATTGAGCGATTTGGAGAGCTTCATTTGATCGGACAGCGTTTGATGGACATTTGAGTGCCTTAAAAATATAAAAATTAAGTAATCTTGGGTTTGCTGGATTCGACTTGTCGAGACGCTTGATTTGACTATAGACTTGCTAGATTCGTCATTCATTTGACTTTCTAAATATGTTCGAAAAACATTCTAGTGTGATTTAATGACTTGATTTGAGCTTGATTTGACTTGGGTTTGACTGATTTTGATATCAGTGGGTCCGTCTCATCTAGTCAGTCGGTCTGACTATAAGTTTGATGAAATCGGAGCTCTGGATGACTTTTTATCAGGATTTGAACATTTCTTGCTCAAAAGATTATCTCGAGATTCATGTCATGCCTTAAAATCCGTGCCAGATGATGAGAATTTGTTGATGTGTATCACATAATATAATAGCTCAAATGAGTCTTTCCAAAGCATACAATCAAAACAGAACAAGATAGTTTAAATCATGATTAAATATTGTTGAACAATGTTTAAACTTTTCTTGATTCTTATTCTGCCAATAATCAAACCATTTTCAAACCAAGTTTAAATGTAATTAAAACGTTGACCGAGTCTTATTTGAGTCATGATTATATCTTGTTTAAGCAAGGTTTCAACCTCCACCAAACAATTTTGTAACCTTATTTGACAATTCAATTAACCTTCTTGCAAAATACAATCAACATTTAAAGAAAGTAATGTGATGTCTAATATACCTTTAAATTTAGGGTAGTCAAACATATAAAATCGCTAACCTTGAATAGCTGGTAAATGGAGCTGACAATTGTCATGAAACTTTGCTGCAAATCGATCATCTGCGAACGACAACCCCCGAAGATGAGGAAGGTGATCTGAAGAGAATGGTTCCAGCATTTTTTAGTTTGAAAATTTATTTAGATGCTTGTTTTAGCACCTCATACATAAAAAACAAGATTATTGTAATCTGAAATGAACTTTCAGCCATTTTTTCCCTAAAAATAAGCATGCATATCTGATTAAGTTTGAGAATTATGAGGCATTAAATTACATTGATTGATTATTAACATTTTATAAAAATATAGTAATTTTATACAAATATAGTATTCTTTATTATTCTGATATAATTTTACATGAGAAGCTTACTTTTCCATGGGGCAATCAAAGATTTCTTCTCAAGAAATTCCCCAGTACTCTTCTCTTTACGTCTAACCATAAAATGGTATAAAGACTCACAATCATAACAAGATTAAATAGAAGGACAGCACCAATAGAAAAGCATACGCTAAGAAAAGAGAGAAACATCTCCATACCTGTGAAACTTTCAAATAAATTGCATAGAACATATTTCCAGACTAGGGCTTCATTCCAGCGTTGAGTTGCAGTAAATGCCGATGCTTGCTAAAATCTCTTGATTATCTCCCGAAATTGTTTTGCAAGAACCATAATTTTTACCATTTTAGATTGCAAAGAGCCTTCTTTGTTCTGCCAACATGCCTTTCAAAGGAGTTTCACTGTTCGATAAAGCTCCTTCAAATAAAGCCTAAGCCTAAGAATATTTGATAGGTAGCTCAGTTTAGATGTTCTTTACTTCGTTGGCATCTGTTAGATAAGACAATACACATCGATACATACATTTTAAAATAATAATTTTACAAATGATATTTAAAAAGAAAAAAAAACCAAAACCTTGCATGCAAATACATAACTTCCCAACATAAATAAATCCAAATGACTTGTACAACACCTACTAGTTTCTAAAGATCTCATAAACAAAACACGTTAATACATAACATATTACTACATACACCCACACTTTTTTCTTACTCCAGCACCAAAACACTATCATAATCTCAACCCCTGCTCCAATCGGCCGCTCAGCTGCGCTTCTAACGGGCAACCAACTCTCCTTCTACCCATATTCTCCTTCTTTATAGTAACAAGCTTATCAAACAGACACCAACAAAAGCTCAGAAAATGAGGCCTCTTCATGCCTTCAGAATACGTTCCCCAGTAATCCGGGTGATATGTTACATGATAACAAGCCGATGCCTTGGCAAATGAAGTTGCACCCTTCACCCCATCAACATCTTCGTCGCACCAAGCCTTGACTTCCTTCCTCAACGACCTCACCGCCAGTCTCACCGCTTCGCCATCCTTGTACTTGTCAAACTTTTTTGACATCTTCATCAAGCTGCCAGTAAGGAGTTCAGCCTCGTTCTTCATGCCATAGTGCTCCATCAGATTTCCTAGCTTGAAATCATAGTTGTCCTTGAAAACTACGGCATCATCAATATAATCCTCAAAGCCATCAACTTCCATGTCTGGGTCATAAGACTTCCGTGCTACATCCTTCGTGAAGGAAGTTATAAGGTAACCTGGTGGTAAATGGTCTTTGACTGCCCTGAAGAGCTTCCCAATCACTCCTTTTGAGATGTAGGTTGGTTTATCAGGCTTTTCCATGAAGTCGGGATACTCTTTGACGTGAAGAAGAGGAGGGATTTCTGCTGGAATGCCGGTTTTGGGGAAATCAACGGCGATCGAAAAGAGCTTTGCAAGCTCAAGGCAGGGTGAACTATGTGCTTTCATAATTTCTCTGTCGGCGAAGACTGTGTGGGCATTTGAAATGATGCCTAAACTGTCGTTGATGATGTAGTTTGTGAAGTATTCCTGGACTTCCTGCATGGCACAAGCATAAAAGGAAGCGCGGTTTTTTGTTATTTATATTCCAAAAGTTTACGGTGTGTTTAAAAGATAAATTTTCTGTTATACAAGCAGGAATCAGAACTATGATAAGTAATGGAAAAGGATGGTAATCAATTACGAAAATATTATAAACTGCAGAACTGTTTGTTTGAGAGTTGCTTCCTGCTTAAGCTTATAGATTGACATGAATGAACAGCGACAGAAAAAGCAAAAGACATTTGCTTCAGAATATTGAACCCATGCATTGCTTAATTGCATCAATTATAGCATATGCAGATCAACTTTATCATTCTATGAAAGAGTTTCGGTATGAAAGCAACATTACAATATCGCAGGACCTAAAAAGTGAAACTAGATGACCAAGGAACTAATTTGGCAGAATCAAAGCGCTTAATGTGTAGAAAAAGTAAAAAAAAAGTTGACTGTTTCCACAACTGTCTGCCAGTAAAGGGTAACTGGACAAGGCATGAGGCCTGAACTGGTTAACTAAACTTATATAAGCTGTCACTTAACGACTTTCTTTTAAGGGCATTTACAAACATAGAATGCAATTCTTTATGTATTTACATATCTCACACCTAAACTTTCATATTAACACGCATCACATTCAAATCTTTAATATCACATCAAAAATAACATTATTACCACTTTTTACAAGTGAAGTACATCTTTTCATACATCGATTTAAAGCATTAAAGTGCTTTAAATATGTTTAGGTGTGAGATATGTAAATACATAAGAATTGAGTGCTACATAAAGTAAATTTCCCTTCCTTTAATTGCTTTCTTTTAGCCTCCATAAGGTGGGAATCAAACCTCATAGATTTAATGATAATACTTGGAAAAGAGCCAGAATTTGACATGATTGAAATAGTCGAGGAGATTTCTGATGACTGCCAAAAGCATTACCTCGATTGTAACATCATGATTAAGAGTTTCAGATGGGGGAGCAGTGTATTCCATGGGTGGAGCTTGTCTAGGAGGAATAAGCGCCGGGTCCCAACACACAAAATATATATCTCCATCCAAGTCGCTCCCTGAACACTCATTTGGGTGCGGCCTGAAAGTAAAAAAACATTCACACAGCCAAATAGAATGAGGCATATTACAGAATGAATTGAACGAGGATTCCTACAGAATGAACTGAACAGGGATTGCGCGAGGGGAAAAAAATAAAAAAATAACAAAATAAAAGCATTGGGTTAAATATTTGTTGATACTGTTTGTTAAAATTCTTTCAGTCCAGCCAATGGAAGCCCGGTGATGACTTTTTGTGTTGCATGCAGAAAGTACACAGAATTGAAAACAAAATATAGAATTAATAATCACTTCAAATTTAAATTCTGAGAATACCTTACCTTTCACCTTTCTGAGGAAAAACAACGCAGTCAATCATGTGATAAAGATCTGGAACATCAACAGCATTCAAAATGCGAACATCACCCGGATGAAGGCATGGATTCTTAGCTACAGCAACCTTTCCTTTCACCACCACAGTTCGTTGATCACTTTCCCTTGCATGGAATGTATGAAGACCATTAAAATGATGCATTATATTCCCAGTACAGGAAACCTGAACAAAAACTTCACCATACTCTAATTTTCTAGTTTCATCCAAGCATCCCATCATTGCTCTACCCTTCTGAACAAAAATCCTCGATTTAGTTCTCAATTCAAACAACCTTGATGCCCTATAAGTCTGTAACATCATTGAAAGAAATGGCTCTGAATCAGGTTTATAGCCGCACATTAGCATTTCCTTCAGAACGTTCGTTGTTTCTCCGGGTGTCATGAACTCAACGGCCTCCATTGCACTATGAGCATCACTTAGAATATTATCCAATTGATCAACAATCTCATTTTGCTTCTTTTCAAAAATATTGTCACAAACTCCAAGAGTAGAAAGAAGAGTTATCAACTGCCTGTTAAGAAAGCAAGGCTGATATTTGCTATATGCAAGAACATCCAATTTAATGTTATTTGATTCAAACTTGCACATGCTATTCCGTAGAGATAACTTTCTAACTGATTTAGGATCTAAAGCCACAACACCTTTGTAACCACCATACCTTATCTGAAATGCTGAAGGCGTTGAACTTTTCAAGCCACATTTGATAGCTACTCTTTTAGCAAATTCGGAGGAAATCTTACCAATGCCATCAGAAAAGTTGTAGCCCGCCGAATTTTCAATGTCACGAATAAATTCAACTTCATCTCTACAAACAGTTAAGGTTTCTGTGGAGCTGCCAAAAGATTGGCCCAGCCTAGCAGCATATTTGGCAACATTTTTTATTCTGCCAAAATCTCCCATCCAATTTCTTATGCTAGCAGCTGTTACACCATTGCTTGATGCAAACATCCAGGTAGAATTTTCCCTTAATTGGCTGGATGAGAAGGCAAGAAATTCAAAGTTTTTATCACCAATGGTAATACCATTACGAAGTGTTGATAATATCCGCTTATAGATTTTGGTGCGCCTAACGCCGGAACGAGGTGCTAAATCAGTTGAACGCATTTTTCCTTCATCCTCATCCACAAAGGAGACCCTTATAAAATTATTAATTTCTTCGGCATAATTACGGACCACACGGTTTGAAACATTGATTTCAGGACCATAGAAGTACACTTTTGAAGGTGTTACTTGAACTCTGTGAACATATACCAAGCCATCATCCAATGCAATGGAAGCTGAGAACGAGTGATTTTTTGATCTTTGAAGTTTTGCGTATTGCTCTTGAAGCCATTTGGCAGGGTGAAAACAGGAGCTTTTCAAATATGTCATCTTTTCTAAGGCCCTTTCTATTAAATCAATGGATTTCGAAAAGGGGTTAAGCAAACTGAAAAATGTTTCATCTAGAGTTGGCCCACTGAGAATCCCATTTTGAACTAAATGATTAATCTTAAAGAGAATTTTATATGGAACTTTGAAGCCATTGGGAGGGCTCACAATAGGCACAAGATGAAAATCATAAGAGTATGAACGGCCGTTCACCAAATCAAGATAAGCATCGACTTCTTTGAAGTAAACAAAATTTTCTTTTATGTTCGGAAGATCAGACTTAATGGGCAGCTGCAAACAAATTGTTGAAGATTGCCCTATGCTACATTGTGGAGTGAAATCTGTTGTTCTTAACCACTGTTCATCGGTGGAATGTTTGTAATAATTTAAAGCTGGATTTTCATATATAGCGAAGGAATTTTGTGAAGGCATCATATATAATTTTGGAGCAGCTTGGACCTGACGTATTGTCGACCATATTAGAAACAATGAGTCACATCTGGATGCCTAAGCAGGCAAAAGGCTTAATATAGTTGCTTTACGCACTTCAAGCAAATGCCAGGAATTGAATAAAAACCCATCCCATGATGATGGGATCTAAAATTGGTTAAAATTTTGATCTATGTTTATTTTAATATGCTTCTTTAATTTTGTAAATTTTTATTTTCAAGTATTTTGGACATACCTATGATGAAAGATCCATAAGGGCAATGTATCATTTTGTTTTGTAGATTAGGAAAAGAAACCATAAGATGTGTTCTCTAGATTTTTCTATCATTACAATAGTTTTCCCTCCCTCTTTCCCAATGTTGACTAATATTATTCTAACAGGTTTATAATATTATGTAAATTTTATTTTTAGTATTTCGTACGTAAATATCCACAAGGACAAGATGTGTGTTTTAGATTTCCCTATTATATCTCTCTAAGGTTAGAGTCCCCAATATATATATATATATATATTTTTTTTTTATTTTTATTTTTTTTTGCTCTATTTCTCAAGTGTTTTTTTGGATGTGAATTCCCTTGACTGTGATGTAAGGGCAGAAGACATCTCCTGGGAAGATTTCTGCTTATGTGGCATGAATGTTCTTTAATTGATGACTTCTTTCCTTGGCTTATTTTAGTTTCAAATATTTGACATTACCATTCCAAGCACCCTAATTTTAGTTTATTTGTTACTGTTGGTCTTTTTATCATGGCACAAAAACTGTTTGCTCATTTCTTCTTCTTTTTTTGTAATTTGAATTTATCAGAGATTTCTTTGAAATTCATCAATCAATGCATTATCATTTTGATTCAATTTCACATATTTTGAATTTAGAACAAAGGAAAAAAATTTATATTTTTATTGGCCTTTAATTCATAAACTCTATTTTTCACGTGATCAATCTAGCTGCAATATGAACCATATATTTTACTAACTATTCAAATCAAATAAATCAAGTTGGCAAAATGTAAGACACAATGACTAAAATGCCGCTCAAGTTTAAAGTAGTTAAATTAAAAATGAAATAAAGTATTTAATTAGACAAATGGTGATAAGATATACACCATAAGGATATGCTAAATATAAGAAATATATCCATACATATAATGAAGGTATAGCAATATACCTAAGATTTTTGTATGATTGCATCCATATGTTCACGAGCTCATGATTTTACACAGATTTATGCATGTTTAGCTGCACATGTCAATGATTTAATGTATAATTTAATAGTTGTGTATCATAAGAATAATTAAGTATTAGTCTCTAAAGGTGCCTAAACCTGATTGTCGAGTTGCAATATTAAAATAGAGGCAATGCTAATGTCCAAAAGGAAATTATGTACAAAACAGGGGAATTTACATGCATACCACAAAATTCCTATGTATTTACATATCTAATAGCTAAACTTTGCTTTATGGAATTTTGGAGGAACTTTCTGGAAAAACTCTTTCATTTTCTCATCAAGCAAATAAAAAATATATACCACTTAAACTAACCCGAATACAATTGGAGAGAAATTCAAATCATCGTGATAAGAAGGAAAGAAGTAAAAAATACACTAATAGGTAATTAAGGGAGAATAACTTCTCCCCTTCAAATGTTACAGCAGACCCATGGTTTCTAAACTGTGGGTGGGCCCATGTGATCCACAGTTATATTAATATTAAAACTCCCCCTCAAGTTGGGTTGTATGTATCATATATCACATATCACAAACATGCTCTTGAGATCACTAAAGTTGAGTCGAGCACGAGTCTTTGTAAGAATGTCAGCAAATTGATAATAAGTTGGGATATAACTTAGTTGGACAACCCCTCTATTGACCTTCACAGAGATAAAGTGTCTGTAAATCTCTATATGTTTGATTCAATCATAATGTATTGGATTCTTTGAAATACTGATGACTTATTGACCATTACGAAAAATTATAATAATGTTTTTGTTCTCCATGTATAATTTCACTAGTAATTTCTTTAGTCACATCCCTTCACAAATTTCTAGGGCCAGGGCACAAAACTCACATTCTACACTATTACCATAGCTTGTTTTTTACGTCTCCAAGTAACCATGTTACTTTATAGTAATGAATAGTATTTCGTGGTATATCTTTTATCAATTAGTTTTGTCCCGGCTAGAGACTTGGAATTAACCAATGCGAGTACAAATAATGAGATGGTGAAAATTAAAATTTTATGTATTTATTTTCTATAACTAACATTTAATAAATGAAATATCACTAAAGAAATTAAATTAAAGCAATGTAGTTAAATTTATCTCATTTCTGGTTTTTTGTATCTTCTAAAAAATTTTTTACGTTTATTATTCATCTTTTAATCAAATAATTTAAACCTAACATGATAGTTTAAGACAACATTAAGCTAAGCAAAACTAGTGAATGCTCATACTCTTAAACAACAATAATATAACAAAAAGAGAACGATACACATACATGTAAGAGATGTTAAAAATCAATATAAAAATAGAAGATAATTTACTTTTTAAGAAATGATTTTTTATGATAGTTTATAACATTCATTACGTCTTACCATATCAATAACATGTATAAATCATTTTATTTTGTATAGTCGTCACAGGAGTATCGTCTAAGAATTATACCAATTAAAGTACTTCAAGATTAATATCTTTTTCTATTTATATACATGTGTACCTTAGTGTTTCCCCGCTAGTATCATAAAGGATAAAACTCATTCATAGTCAAACATGCACATGCAATCATACTATGAAAATCATCATCTAAAAAAGATTATTTCATTCTAATTTGCATAGCAGCCAATATAATTATATAGCATTCAATATATATGATAATTTAAATAATATTGAGTATAAATATCATTCATATAACATGAATAAAAATTAAATAGAATCATACATCATAAGTTTGCAGTGATTTCAATATAATTAGCAACGGCAACAATAAATGCATCTGGTCTAGAAGGAACAAATATATTACTATAGCATAAGAATATGAGCACTCAGTTCAAAATTGTATGAAGTGTTTTTAGTTTTCCAATCATTTATTCTGATTTCACCTTCATTAATTTGATACAATAAAAATATTCACAATAATTAATTAAATGCTTAAGTGGTCATTTTATACTTAACGCTCAATTACTTGATTAAAAATATACTAATTCATTCAAATTCTAACATCCTAATTATTATTATTATTATTTAATTAAACATTAAAATTTACTTAAAAAACATCATCTCAACATTTCATATTAATAAGGCATCTAACCTAAATATTATGCTCAAACCCAATTTCAATGCATATGAGTCCTTTATCGTAGCCTTCCCAACATTGCCTATTTTGTTCCAAAACTCGCACAAAACCTTGTTGGCTCCACCTGGAAAAAATTTTGCTTGCATTGTTCAGATGCTGAGCTGCGTCCGCACGACGATTGTGATCCATTGATCACTGTTGAGAAAGAAAAAAACCTGTCATCAGTGTATCGCGGCTGTACAACGTACACAAAATTTTTTCCTCCGCCTGATAGTTCTTCAGCCCTCTATTTTCTTCTCCCTCGCTCGTTCAATTATCGATGAACTCCTAGTTGACTCAATTTGACAACTTCATTCGAGAACACTTCTTTTTCTCGAGCTAGGGCTAAGATCGACTTGCCTTCTTCCTTCTGTGAATTTTCCTAGACACTAAATTTCACATCGAGTCACTCACACCTTCGTCATTGTATTTGAATGTATTGTCTAGCTTTGCAAGTATTCTCATGCTTATGATTGGAGTCGGTGCCACCCTCATTTCTGCCCTAGACTACAAAATGGTCGTGCAAGAGAATCTTTTTTCTTCATTCGATTCCACACAACAAGAATCATCTGCATTCTCCACCTTCCCACACTGTAACTCATCAACACAGTCCTTTAAACTTAAACCTGATCATCTGCTCAATTTGGTTTATCGGACGACAACGATCTCTCTGATGTAAGCAGACTAATTCCCATCACCAGTATTGCATGCATCGGAACAACCCTGGCCTTTGAATATCACACACATAGGTACTCCTTTGATCCGTTAGTTGTGTTTGCCGATCTCCTTTCGCTTCTTCTTAAAAGGTCCTTTCGCTTCTTCTTAAAAGGTCCTTCCGCTCGACACAACTTCCTCAGATAAATATGACTCCTATGTTTTATACGACTCTTTGGATTTGTAATGATATAGCATTATAAGAGATAAATGATCGAGCTTTAAGATCTTCTTAATTTATAAAAATTGTTCTCAAAATTTTAAACATCTACCCCAAACCTCAAATCATTGCAAGAAGCACATGAACTATCTATAAATTTTCATGATGTCTAGATCTCATTCATTATGATGAAAAGTAAAAACAAAAAAAAAATCTGCCACAAGATAACTCAACTATCTTCCACCATCAACTGAAACAAGTTAACATCACAAGAATAACATCACATTTAAAAAAAAGGAACATAAGTAAAATAACATACATCTCTGAAATAACAAATACACTAATCAATCCATATTAGCATCAACATTAACAAAAAGTTCTTCAAACTTTCATGTGCAAGGGCATAAACTAGTGGTTGAACCGGTTGTCTTGGTTGACTTTGAGAAGGAGTTGAAGCTGTGAACATTATCATTCTTTGCTCGCATGTGGTATTTTAGGAAGAAGCTTCACTTGGTTTGTGTTCTCCTGAGATTTTCTAGCTAAGTGATGGACAATATCTCGTTGTATAACCAGGTTGATGACACTAGCAGCATGTATGAGAGCCCATCAAATATTAACCTTTATGTTGTTTTCTACACTTAGTATAGGTGACTACAATACTTCAAGGAGTGCCCCCACTGAATCTATTATAATTGAACTTAGACTTCTTCTCATTGGATGCCTCTGATTGGTTCATATGCTATTTCTCATCAATACTCTTTCTCTTGTGCATATCTTTACGATTCAAAGTGAGTTGATAATCAGTCTTCACTCTTCTAACTTGCTTCACTAAAACTGAATAAACATCAATTCCCAAT